AACTGCTTGGTCCTGAAATATAAGCATTTAAAGAGAGCGTCGTTACGTGACAAAAAATGGAAGTAGATTATTTCATTTCTTACAAAATCGCAAAACTCTGCGAATTGTGGATGGCTATTTTCATGAAACTTATTTTAATATAATTTGGAGCAATTCTAGTTATTTTTGGACTTTTTTGAATTAATGCAACTTGTTTCAATTTTCTTTTACAACCCCAAGTGTGAAACGTAAACTTCCATCGTTATATTTTTGTTAATATTGCTTTTAAATGAATTTTTAACGCAAATAAAACATGTATTTTATGTAGAATATACTTCATATTTTGACGTCAGCGACTATTCAGGGTGAATTTGTTGGAAATGTATGACTTATTATGTTTCAACTACATACGCCAAATTCGAACCAAATCGGACCATAAATACGGTTTTTCGAAACATCTCAACCTTGGCGCCACCTAGGAAGACCATTTTACGCAAACATGATTCTACTTACATAGCCAGTATATATTTTAAAAAGCAGAAAAATCGGCCCGTAAATACGTTACGTTTTATTTTTTTTTTGTCGTGGTGGACCTTCGGATGGAAACACCCATATGTATTAAAAGTAGAACAAAAATTAGTCAAGCATTTAACTTTCTTTGAGATCGTAAGCCACATTTTGGTTTAAAGACCATGTATGTATTTTTATATCATGACAAAAACTTTGAGAAGGTTTTATATAATCTTTTGCTTTTATTAGGAATCGAGGGTTTTTAATATTAATCTGTTTCTACATTTAGCTTTTATCAGATTCTGAACAGAAAAGTCACGTTCAATTTTTGCGGAGGAATGTGGAATAGACAATAATGGTATTTTAAAAATGTTTTCACCATTGGGTCGTTCAGTTCGTTTTGAAAATATTTAATTCGTTCCCAAAACTTGCATATATTTTAATTTTGTTAAGTTTCCGTGCTCCGGTAGAAAAGGTGTGAGGTAGAAAAAGACAAAATCATTTCTATTAGTACTCAGAATTGCCAACCTTGTAATGTAGTACAAATTTTGTCGAAGTTTTTATGGAGTAAAGAAGGAAGAAAGTATTTGTATAAATAGTATAAGTTTTTAACCAGCGTAAATATAAAACCAATAGAAATACACACAGCGCTGCATTTCCAAATTGTACCAAAAAGGTCCATGTGGTGTCAATGTACTTTTTGGTTTTAAATTGTCCAAAAAAGCACAATTGTGGCAACTTTATCATAACTGGGTATCAGTAGTGACAACTCGATTTGACATTGCCTTAGCTCAGTAGAATAACCGTGAAAACACAATGCCGGCGAACGGCGAACTCACCACAGCGAAATTCCCGCTGTCAAAATTAGAACCTCCGACGGTATATGAAACTGAACACAGCCAAAGCGAAATGCGAAGCATGGTACAATAAACACAGGTAGAAGCCAAATTGACAACAAACCTACAAAAGTCAAAGTTTTCGGGAGAGTAAAAATAAAAATGAGCGTGTGTAAGGAAAAATAAAAAATTACATTTCGCTGGTTGACGTTTTTGAGTAAATTTGAAGTTTTGTTTTTATTTTTTTTCTTTGGTTAAAATTTGTTAATTTGTATGTTGTTTTCTGTTTTTAATTTATGAGTTGGAGGGACTTTCCGGCATAAGGGTCATAGGAAGAGCACTTGGCATCAAAAGTGCCTTTCCTGTACCTCCCGGTGCATTTATGAAATCTGCTGCTTTAAAATGTTTAACGCACAGCAAGGCATTTCGCTGCAGTTCTGCCCCAAAGCTGTTTTCGCAACGCTCTTTACGCGAAGGACATTGAGGCACGTTAAAAACAATTAGTGGTATCTGCTTCATATTTAAAACCACATAAAAAACAACGCTTCAGGTGTTGCATTTTTAACAAATACCCTAAGTATAAACCGCACAACACTACTCAAATTCACATGTTAATTAAAATTTGTTATTAACGAACATTAAAAAAAAAACAACGATATGACATTCAAAGCGTAACGAAATATAGGAAATAAAAGAAAAACAAGTTGAAGTTTAAAGGTTTGGTTCTCATGAGAGCAACGTCATTTTGGCTTCTACCTGTATTAATGTGCCTTGATGCGAAGTTTGTTCGGCGGCGTTTCGTGGCGATAGATTTATTTCTATCGCTCTGCCGGGCGATGGCGACAGTACATGCCAAAGGTGGCCGTATGTTTTTTTTTGCTTTCATAGATTTACAAGAAAACAACATATAACACGAATTATATTTGTTGTTTGAAAAATACAGTGATCGATTCGCTAAATCTGGCTTAAAATAAAATAATTTATAATAATTCCCTCTCGCCGTATATTTATATTTGTTATCATTTCATAATTTCTAAATATGGTTTCGTTTTGCAAAATATGGTCACCTAAATTATAAGTGCGACGAAATGGTATCAGCTGTTTTGGCTACCGCTCTAATTCTGTTAAAGTAGGCGAAATAGCAGGGCGAACGGTGAACGACGGCATCGCCCTATATTAGGTGCAATCCCGTATTCCTCGGACTCGGACTAGTAAAACTGTCAAAAAATAAAAATTCGCTCAGAGCGAGAGAGTAAAATTGAAAAGTACGGGATCGCTTTCTAGTAAAAAATGGTAACTTCTGTCAACTTCAACATAACCTCCAAATTTTGGTTGTAAATTTTTGCTTATTTTGTATGTAAACACACTCAGATCACACATGTAAATAACCAAAAATACTTCCAAATTCATTAGAATCCACTTAAACAAGTAATTAAATACTTTTAAACATGAATTAGCAGAGTGCACTTTTCTTTTGTTTACAATTTGGTTGCCAAACACTCTACAGCTGATCGTTTGACACATTTAACAGAATTTACCAGTACAAAATTCTCGGACTTAAACTGGTAACTTCTGGCAGAGAGAGAACCGTGTTTACTCCCTTTTTTGTCCTCTCAATAGTCAGAGAGCCGAGTACGGGATCGATTTCCAGTAAAATCTGACTGATTCTGACTATTTCTGACTAGTCCGGACTCGTACGGGATCGCAACTATTATTGGGCAAAGAAGTGTTAAAGAAGTAACACTGTTTCACCTAAGGCAGTCAATAGTTGCGTTCCTTATCTCCCAGAAATAGTCAGAAAAAGTCCGAAGTAGTCAGATTTAGCCCAAAAAGCGTCACTTAACTCGAAAATGATAGCAAAAACGAGAGAGCAACACTCACTGAGAGTGACTCTCTTCAGTCCGAAGTAGTCAGATTTAGTCAGAAGAATTTTTTCTGGCAAAATCTTGAAAAGTGTCAAACTCAACTGAATTTGAATTAACGGAAATTAAAGGATACACAAAAAGTGAGAATAATCTAAAAAGTAAAAAAAGTGAATTAAAAGTGGAAGGAGACAAAAAATAATTGATATAATAATAATAATAATAATAATAATAATAATAATAATAATAATAATAGATTGGCGCTTACACATATGTTAGTGTTTGGCCGAGCTTCTCCTCCGACTTCTGGCGTGCGCCTTGATATTGTCACACAAAGCGGAGGGACCTACAGTTTTATGCCGACTCTGAACGGCGATTGTATTTTTGTGAGAAGCTGTTTTTCATGGCAGAAGTACACTCGGAGGTTTGCCATTGCCTGCCGACGGACGACCGCCGTTAAGAAAAAACCTTTTTTCTATATTTTTTGCGATGTTGCTTTGACCAAGGTTTGAACCCGGGTGCTGCGGAGTGGAAGCGCGCACTGCTTATTACTACACCACAGCGGCCGAAATAATTGATATAAGGCATGTTTTATTCAACCATCACAAGCAAATAGCTAAATCTTGGTCAAATAAAAAGAAATTAGCTTATTTCCTATGTTAGCCTAATTTTGACAGTTTTTTGACTGCAAATAGTGTCAGAGTAAGTATTTGCCTCATGCTGAAGGAAAAAATTTCTGATGCTGAATGGCAATGCCTCTTGTTCAATATACAAGCCAAGATAGCTTTTCATAAGCCAATATAATTATGTTGGGTAAGTCCTCCATACAAACTAAGCTAATAGCTTAAATTTCTGGACAAATAAAACACAGCTATAGCTAGTATTTATAGTGCTTGTGCTTGTGTGAATGTGTTTTGTACATACATTTCTATTCTTAGACCCCTTTCAGACACGTGAAGTCTTGATTTCAAGTCTGCTCGTGCGTAGGCGGAGGAGGTGGGACGAATGTACTTTTCCCCTCTCTGCTCACCTCCTTCGCCAACGAACCGAAGCAGACTTGAAAGCAAGACTTGACGTTTCTGAAAGGGGTCTTATTTGACGTTAGTTTTGTTGTTGCTATTCTTTCGACAAAAGATTTGTTTTTTTTGCGTTCCTTTACTTTTTCCTGTCCGAAAAGATAAGGAATGAACCTAATATGGCGGAATTAGAGCGAGAAGTTGCCAACCGATAACACCTTGTATTATTGCATCATGATTGAATACACCTTGGCGTCGAGATTTCAACAGATAGAAAATAACTTTTTTCTTTCTTTCCTTCTAAAGCCTATTGTATATATTATGTTAAAGGCATATTATGCATTTTAAATTAGTTTTTATTCTATAATTCTGAAAGATATTTTAATTCTCTATCTTTTTATGTCTCAACTATAGCAAATAGTTGAGTAATAACGAAGATATTGGTCAAAATAAAAAAACTCACGCTTTGCGTGATCTTGTGTCTTTCGTTCATGTGCAAAACTCTTTAAACAGATTCGAGCCAAGGTGGCGCATTCCGCAAATTGCTATTTTGGTGTGGCCGATTTCGATAATTCTCGATTTATTGTATGGGAATGCGCAATCTTATATTCCATCACTCATGGCACTGTTCTACACCTTTGTGCACTCATGGAACAGACCTATAATCATTTTTGACAACTGCTAAAATTTCATTATTTTCGCGTATAAAATAGAATAAACGTTCACTAAAAATTTGGTTATGATCACTTTATTGTCAAAAATCCATTGAAGCTTTATGGATTTAAATAATTCCTCAATGATTTTCACAGCTGCCTCTAGAAAGCAAACTTGGCAGTACTGACGGGGAGTTTCGTGGTCGGAACGGCAACACTGTTTTTACTTGAGAGAATGAAATTGACTACCATCGGGCTATTGTATTCCAAAGTAATTTAATAGAAATAATTCAATAAAGCATATTAAGGTAGAACCATTAATAGTATGGTTAACTGTACGGCTCATCATTGCTAAATGTTTTAAATATACGTTGCTTTGGCGCAGTGAGAAGGAATCGCAAATCGACACAACGTAAGAAAAAGCAATAGAAAGATAAACCATAGATTGACAGCAGCGACGACTATCAACAGCGCAAGCAGACCAAAAAGAACATAGTGCAAAATAACGAGCTGCAAAGCCCAGTATATAACAACGAGTAGCGAGTTGCCACCGTAGAATCAAGTGCCAATGTGTGTTGCGACCTTCTGGCCTCGGGCTATCTTAAGCCAAATATTGAAGTTTAAAATTTGTGCTTAAAGTATAAAATACCGTGGATTAACAAAACCAAAGGAATAGAAGCTTGCTCAGGACGCTGTCGTAGGCGGCCCCGCAATTACGCGCCTCTGTATTGAGTGTAGAATTGCACTGTCTTGCAACTACACATATATCAAGAAGACGAATTTTACAAGAAAAAGGAGAAAAGGGGACGTTGTAACAGATTTTCACTTCGTTGATGCGGGACAGTAAATGTATCAGCGGAAATGATTTGTAAAAGGGACGTCATCCAATGGTTTAAAGAACTCGAGAGTTACAAAAGGATCGACACTATGTGCACTTTGCTCAACATGTGTCTACCGTTTGAGTTACGGTTCTTAGGGACATGCCTTGAAGAGCTGGGCCGGCGAGATTCGCAAGAGTTGCGCGGCATGGAATTAAGAGTGAATAATCCCCAAGATTTGGCAGCTGATATAGTTGCGTGTCAGAAAGGAGAACCAACTGATAAGAAAATACGGAGGAAAATGGCCCTTTATTTGGCGTTAATACGAGCTTGCAATCGTACCTGTGTGACGGAGATATTTCGTACATTGGATGGTTGGGGAGACCGCGACTTTCAGAGCATGAATGACTCGGATACATTGCAGGAACTTCTATTGGTTTATACCATGGCAGCGAATCATCCGGTTTTCTCATTTGATCAGCAATGCAAATGTACTCAAATATTTGAAAAAATAAAAGAAAACAAGTTGGTTGTGGACTTCCAATCACAGCAAACGCAACAGCAGAATCTTGACCAAACACTTGTTCATACTCAGCATCTGCAGGAGCAGCGTCAGCACTTGCCTCCGTCCCACCAGGAAATTCCGCAACATGTTTTACATGCAATGCATATCCCTGGACAACCACATCCGCAGATACTGACGCCTGTTAACATTATGCCACACATACCAATGACATTTCCACAGGGTCTTCATAAGGTATGTAACGAATGTTTTTTTATATACATACATATTAATTTATCAGTCTAATTTTCGAGTTTTGCGAATTTCGATATTTAAAATTTTTTGTTTTATTTATTTGATTTAGTTTTAAGGACAAGTTAAAAGCTTAATTTATTTATGTTATTTTTTATTTTGCAACTTAATATTTTTATGTGTATCGTAAAAATATATGTACATACGAAGATAGATTTTCTCCAAAGTCTCTGAAAATGTTACTAGTTCACAAAATTCTTAAATTATTTAATTCTTAATGTTTATTGTTAATTAGTTTTGAGTTTATGAAGGATTTTCTTAAGTAAAATTTTGTCGAGGCGTCATTTGTACACAATTTGGCAGCCACTTTGTATGAAATACGACACAATGTGATCAAAATTTCTACCAAATTAGCGACACTTTTTACTCAATATCTCGGAAACTAAAGGAGATAACAAAAAATGGAGATCGCCATTTTTAAGATATTGATTAGTTTAATATGGCTGCATCACTAATTAAATTTTTACTAAATTATCGAAAAAATTGTAGTCAATATCTCGAAAACTAAAGGAGATATCTAGAAACTGATAACACCAATCGAAATGCCTTATTTCAAAATATATAACTGCATCTAGATCTAAAAATCGTCAAAATGGCGCTTACGACAATCTTTTACCCAGGCGACGATGTGTATACACCAAAAGCTTATATAGATTTAATTTCAACAAAATGCAAGCTAATTCATCTCCAATTTTAACAGACGATTTCACGGAGTCTAAATATTAATTGTAGAGGATTATTTTTGAATCCATAACCTGAAACACCAAATAATCGATTATAATGAGTCCATAAGTACTTTTTTGAGTCATTAAAAAAAATTATGATACGATTAGAAGAAAATTCAAAACGGATTTTAATTAGCATGATTTGGCTGACCAGTATAGCATGGATACGAAGATCAAATAGGTATTTTGGGAAAAGATTTTTTCTCGACATCATCCATCCCCCACGCGGGAAACACACTTAATTCAGCGGTAACAAATTTCGAGGTTACTAGTGTGGTCATACCGGGTGTAAATAGATAGACAGGTATTAACCCTGCTGCGATAACGTTATTTTTTGGACGTGTACAAATTACAATGGTTTACAATAGTCCTTTAAGGATGTCAATGAAAACACTTTTTCAAACTTTTTGTTTTTACTTAAATCATTTATTTAGATAATGATCTCTTATTTTCAATATTTTTTATAAAGATAATTATTGCTTATTTAATAAACAAAAATCAAGTTTAGTTTTGCGATTTTGAGAAGGGGAGAAAAAAACTTAAAAAGCGTACGTCTGCATCACGATCCTTTAAGGGCCAGTTTTTCAGTGAAAGTTTAAACTTAGATTGAGTAAACTGAGTTTAAATTGAACAGCTAGCTGACATTTGATTGGCTGATCTTAGTTTAAACCACGGCCGTGCACTGAAAAACTGGTCCTTAGAGTCTGTTGTTGTTGTTGTTGTAGCAGCAAACAAGTTCCCCAAAGGGTTTTTGGGGAGTGTTGCTGGAGTGACAGTCCTTGCCCAGATATAAATCTGGGTCGTTCCGGTTACGTAGACCCGACTGTCGCGGGTCCTTAATGTCCTTATTCATCGGTTGGGTGCTTTGATGTTTGGTTAGTTAAAAGTTTGCTAGTGAGAAAATTCGAAGATACCATCGTTAACAGACATCGTAACAGTTAAGGCCTGGATACTGTGAATACTGCAGACCAGTTAACTCGCATACATACACCTGCGTTCAACTAATTAGAAACGAAATTCCAAATGATATTGTTTGCAAACTATGTTTATTTTTTTATTTTTAATAATTTTCATTTAAAATATAATTTAATCTGTAACGGAAACCACAATAATAAAAGTTTAAAAGCTTGCAAAAATACAAATTTATCAAACTTCAAAAAATTGTCATTAAAATTTACAAATTTTTAATCAGAATATTAAAAATTTTTCAGGTATGCACGAAACGAAAAACCATAAGAAAGGGTCTCAAGTCTTTAAAAATTACCGTTGATTTAAAATTTTTTTTTTTTTTTGTGCAGGGTGTTGCGATTTTCTTCCATATAACACATGAACAACATTTCTTATATATGTAACAAAAATCCGCAACACCTTGCACAAAAAAAATTCTAAAAAATCAACGGTTACTTTTAACGACTTGAGACATGCACTTTCTTAGACTACAATTGAATGGGCTATAGAACTGCATACCCGAAAATTTTCTAAATATTCTGATTAAAAATTTGAAAATTTTGATGACAATTTTTGAAGCTTGACTAATTTTTTTTTCAGTTTTTGAAGCTTTGAAACTTTTATTATTATGGTTCCTGTTACAGATTGAATTATGTTTTAAATGAAAATTATTAAAAATAAAAAATAAACATAATTTGCAAACAATATCATTCTGAATTTCATTTCTAATTGGTTGAACGCAGTTATATGTATGTAAAAGACCCGCGAGAAAAGGATCGACACTCACCACCTATTTGTCGACTTTAAAGCCGCTTTTGACAGCACTAAAAGGAGTTGCCTTTACGCCGCTATGTCTGAATTTGGCATCCCCTCAAAACTCATACGGCTGTGTAAAATGACGTTGAGCAATACCACCAGTTCCGCTACTTTGGACTGAGTAGGCAATTCAGGAGTAAAGTCCTCTCTCGACGTACGAAAACCGCGCTCTATAAGTCACTCATCATGCCCGTGCTGGTATATGGCGCAGAAGCATGGACAATGACAACATCCGATGAGGCGGCTCTTGGAGTGTTTGAGAGAAAGATTTTGCGGAAGATTTACGGGCCTTAACGCGTTGGCGACGGCGAGTACCGCAGACGATGGAACGATGAGCTGTATGAGCTTTACAACGATATGGACATAGTGCAGCGAATTAAAATACAGCGGCTCCGCTGGCTTGGTCATGTCGTTCGAATGGACACCGACGCTCCAGCTCTGAAAGTATTCAACTCGGAACCCGCTGGTGGTAGCAGAGGAAGAGGGAGGCCCCCACTGCGATGGAAAGATCAGGTGGAGAAGGACTTGTCTTCACTTGGCGTTTCCAATTGGCGTCAGTTGGCACAGAGGAGAAACGACTGGCGTGCTTTGCTGAACTCGGCCAAAATCGCTTAGGCGGTTACAGCGCCAAAAAAGAAGAAGAAGTTATATGTATGTATATCCAGACTCGACCCCGACATACCAAATACATGTACATCTGTTCGGCCTGTGAATGCTCGCCCTACAAAAGCAACCATCTATCCACTCAAAACCCATTTGGTCCGATCACATTGAAACATCACTTTTCCTAAGCCTAATTTTAGCTAAGGTTGGCGACAAAGATTGATATACCAGCCGATATTGGTAGTGGTTAGTAGTGCCGCCACTACAACAACACAAATATTTCGATTTCGCAGCGACCCCAGCGTGGGCCTGTCATATGGCTCATTGTGGGGGATTTTTTATTTGGACCTTCATCCCCATAATACGTATTGAGTCCAACTAACGCAAGAACTCAAAGCCGGATGACCATGGATTGTGCTTCGGCACATAAAAATCAGGCATATATGAACCAAATTTGAAAACACAAGAATATATCTGTGTTCGTATGGAAAATTAGCTTATGTCGTAAGGCTAGCTTTAGTATAATGCGGCATTCCCTTCATTCTTTAAACGACAAGGAATTTTTTGATGAGACTAAATAAGAATAATGACTTGCTAGTATCGGAACTATTTCTTGCACGTTTATTTGCCAAAAGTTGTTCAACGGCTTAGCGCCAGTGAGTCATTCGTAATCGTATGCTGCGAATGTCGATTTATACTAAAGCCAGCCTTTCGGCATAAGCCATTTTTCCATATGAGCACAGATATACACATATGTGTACATATGTAATACGTGGGAAGAATCTCACATAGAAAGTGTGTTTGAGTAAAAACTTAAACTTATAGTTAAATGGCCTTATGCATAATAAAATTATAGTTTATAAAACTAAAACTTCGCTATTAAAATTTCCATTCGTACTGTCATCAGGTTACTTTAAGAATGGAAGTTTGAAGCAATTCTCATTCGTACTGTCATCAGGTATGTAACTTGAGAATGGAAAAGCGAGGTAAAAAACAAAGTAGCTTTATAAAAGGTTTATAAATTGAAAAATGTATGAAAATTTATAAAGCTCTTTAAACCTACTTTAATTTTTATGAATAAGGCCAAAAGAGTTTAAATGCGATAAACAGAAGACCCTACAAGACGCGAATGACAGAAACTCTAACACATTCTCTAAGAAAACTAACACATATGCAAAATTTTATATGCCAGTTTGGCTCCGTAGTGAATGACTGTCATTTGATCGATCAAGTGAGTGTCAATGCTGATAGAAGTAACGGTAGTTGGTTGCCATAGTAACCACAAGATTCACTAGGGCTGCATTTTGTGCGCAACAAAAGTAGTTGTACCTGCCAAATAATGTCGAGTACTGAAGTACTTGGATATAATTTTGAACTTAATTAGTTTAATTTTAATTTTATCACTATTCGACCCCGCTCATAGCATTAGTAAGTAAAAATAAAAGTTTTCATTGTGGTATGACATTCTTTTTATATATAAACGTAATAAATAAAACCGTATTATAAAGTACTTGGTACTGAAGAAGTTCAAATGCGCACATCAACAGAAAAAAAGAAAGACGCAAAACGAAAAGATGTTCAAAACTTAAAGTGCTGTGGAAAAGTAAAGATAAGTTTTATAAAATATTTCATTTAAAATGAATAAAAGAGCTTTTAATACCGCCATGAGCAAGAAAAAAGGATTTACGAATCCAATATTAAAAAATTGCATCACATCGCTAGTTCTCTACCACTGCAGTCCTATTGCGCTGTGGATTTAATAGAAACAAAATTAAAAGATCCAAAGTATGCACAAGCCATGATAATGAATTATATTATGGAATACATATTTCACGTTCTAATCGCTGTACATACATTTTTCAAAGGTCAATTACATATATCAAAAACAAAAGGTGTGTCTGAGGACGTAGGCAGCGTCATTAAACATTTATTTACGGACGAAACATTGCTGCAATTCAACTGGGACGGAAGATGGGAGAGAAAACCACTGAACAAACTCATACTGGTTGATGTTCGTAAGACATTAATTATTTATCATCTAATATTTTAATGATTAATAATTAGGTCTTAAGATTTTATGAAAATAAAAGAAAAAAAATATGTCTTAAATGTGTCATTAATGATAGCTTTCTAATCATGCGTGAGAGATCAGACTTGACGAATTTTTACATCAGCTGTGAATAATCAGGAATGATAGGCAAACCTGTCAGACTTGATGTGTCATGAATGATCGGTTATTACATCAAATTTGATTGCACATTGCTGACTTATATTTCTATCAAGGTTGATCACTCATAACTGTCGAAGATTTACATCACTGATGATTCAAATCTGAATGCCGAACTCAATGGGAGTGAGCAGTATAGCAATATGCCAAAACGTATATGCCAGAAGGAGATGAAGCATCACACGTACACGAAAGTTTCCATCAGATTTTTCACACTGCCCTTTAGAATTTGATAGAAACTTGTAGGTAGCCAGTGACAGAAATCTCCATCAGTCTTGTCCATCAAATGATTTGTCAAATGATAGTCACTGTTCTTGCAGGGGATATTGCTAGGGCCAAAGAAATATGAAAAACGAAAGTATTGCTTTCTTTTATATCGGACACATTGGCCCTTATTATGAGTTGCATTCGATTTTCGATCTTCGCTGGTTATCGAAGTTCGAAGATCGAAAGTGAAATTCGTATTATGAGCTATGCAACCGTATCGAAATTTTCGTTGAGTATCGAATTTTCTGTCGAACAGAATTTTGCTTTCGATGGGGTAGCGAAGTGTTAGAAAATTGTGAAAAATGTATGATTTTGCATTTGTTTTCTTACTTTTTGGCGGGTAGACACTAATTTTAAACAATTTTTTATCAATTTCATGCAGTTTTAACGTCGTGAATACAAAACACAAGCTCGAAAGACTGCTTTACTTGTGAAGGAAAATCCCAGTACTCAGTTGGCACGATTTCTGAGAACAAATCATAGAGCTGTGGATAGTTTTAAAATATTTTAAATAGATTTGGCTCACAAACGCCTCTTAAGACAGTCGGAAGTTTTTAGTAAATCTGTAGACAAATTTCTTAAATATATTTTATGTCAAAATATATTGTAAAGACTACACTTAAACTCTCTTTAAACATTTACTACTCCTGGTCAGTTCACTAAACTCTCATCCTCTGACGAATCGTTGAACCCCAGAACTTCGTTGTACTAATTTTTACCACGTTTTTATAAACTTGCCATAATACCAAATCAAAATTCGTTCGATCAGCACTATCGACCACAGTCGAAGATCGAATGTAACTCATTATAGGGGCCATTAGCTTAATTTTGTTTTTACGCCTACCTTGCTAACTTTATTTTGTCACGTAATTTTTTTTCTTCCGACGATAGGGAGAGTTTTAAGTCTTGAGACTTCAAAAGCTGGCTTGAATATGTATTAAGTAGCTATTACATATAGTGGTGGTAGAAACAATAGACTCGCCTTACTTTGAAGAGTTTTTTTTGGCTATATTCCTTTGGTTTATTTTATTTTTAATATTTTTTTATAAAAGCCTGGCTAGTTTTGCCACAAACATCATAAAAATCCCCTTTTAAAACTTTGTATAAAAATTCGACAAATTTTTACCGCATTCTCAAACTTTTTATTCAGAATTTTTAGAAAAGTTGTTGGTATCGGTTTTGTAGCCCATTCAATTTTAGTACAATAAAGTGTAAGTGTCAAGTGGCTAGAATATACCGTTGATTTTTGAATTTTTTTTTTGTTTACGATGCTAGGCATATAAACAAATTTTATAGCACACTTTGTATGGGAAAAATGCGTGACCCCGTCAGCAAAAAAAAATTCTTAAAAATCAACGGTATTTTGTAGCCATTTGAAACTTCCAATTTAGTATACTAAAATTGAATGGCTATAAAAGCGCATACCAAAAAATTTTCTAAAAAAAATATTAAACATAAAATAATCTAAAGAAATATAGCCAAGACTCTTCAAAGTACGAAGAGTCTATTATTTCTGCCGCCAGTGTCGATGTGGCAACCTTGCACTGTTTTGAAAACTCTGTCAAACTCAAGAACTTCCAAAAGTCATTGCAGAATTTCCAAAAGTCATTGCATAGTTGTTGTAGCGGTTATCAAGCCCCGCTGGGGTCGGTTCATCCGTTTCAGCTAAGGGGAGGCCCAGGAAATGTGCCACTTCCACAGGGTATGTCCATAAGGACAGGGGCGTCAGCTGCATAGTAGAGCGCATTGGTGTTTTTTCGAATAGGCGGACGGCGTTTGCTTTGTCACGTCTAACCTTTATATGTTGTAAATCATTGAAGTACTTATTTGTTATATAAATATCTTTCATGTTACCTATTATTTTAATATTTCAGATAATCCAGGCTGACGGAACAATGCAACATCCTGTTCCCGTAGATCCGCATATGATTTCTTTGAATGTCATTCCAACTGAGTCGAATCCAATTTTTCAACCAACATGGCCACGGATGTATCCCCAAGCTATAGAGGTAAATTTTGCATACTTTCATGTTGAATCAAATTTTATTACGGACATTCATTCATTTGCATGTACATAATAAATGCATATGTATGCATCAAGGATACAATAAAGCAGCTATTTGTTTTTTTTTGTTGATATTCTGCCCCTTTGTTTTCTATTCCATCAAGTCTAAATAAGAATATAATTATTCTTACATTGAATATTATTTGAAAATTTTAGCATCCCCCGCAATCAGCATCGCCAATGCTTAGCCAACAATCTTCTCCTTCAAGTAGCCGAGCAACAAGCCCCAATCGAAATTCAAGTAACAATATGATGCAAGCTGGAATGCAGTTACAATCAAGAAATTTGCCACAAAGGATGAGTGCCTCCTTGAAGAATGTTAGACGTCCATCGGCTGAAACTACACCGCCACCAATGGGACAACAGCAGCTTCAGCAAATGATTCATGACATTAATATGACATCGAATGTAAAAAATATAGATGATGTAAGTGTTAATTATAGACACTCACAATTGACTTATGTACTTACATATATACAAGTGTGGGCCACAAATCCGCTTTTTTAGAATTTTGATTGGTAATAGAAGAAATATGGTTCATTATGCTCTAAAAAAAATCTGTGTGAAAGATGAAAATTTTTGGTTGTTGTTGTTGTAGCAGCATACAAATTCCCCAAAGACTTTTTGGGGAGTGTTGCTGGAGTGACAGTCCTTGGCCAGATATAAATCTGGGTCGTTCCGGTTACGTAGACCCGACTGTCGTGGGAACGGAAAATTTTTGGTCAATATCTTAGGCTCACCCAAGTCCATCAAAGTTCAATGTGCTCAAAATATAAAAATTAATAAATAAATTAATCAAGACAATTTTTTACTAAAATTTCAATTATCTTCGAAAGTATTAGTCCTACATAATTTAGTATATGGACCATTTTTGTAAAGAATCGAAATAATCTAGGAACAATTTTTTTTACCACTTACAACTTTGATGGACTTAGGCAAGCCTAAGATATTGACCAAAAATTTGAATCTTGCACATATATTTTTTTTAAAACATAATGAACCATATTTTTGCTATTCCCAATCAAAATTCTAAAAAAGGCGGCTTTTCAAACCATGCCAATATATACATAGTATATCCTTTTGTAATTCACTCATCAAAACCATTTATTCAATAAGTACATACATACGTTTTACCAATAACTTTCGGTTTCTCCGTAAAATTTTCGTTACCGAAGGTTTTTGTTTCTAGTCATAACAGTCAAGGAATCCCTACGTTGGTTTAAATACCACACATAATAAAAAAGCGAAATCTTCTTGCAAACTTTTGTCCAGGCTTCTTTTCTCAAATATATTTCTGAAAATTGAGCCTCCCTTTAACTCCGGGCTCTTAATGTAGCATTTGATCTGTGTTTTGGCAAATCGTGTTCATTATATTTTATTACCAACTATCTGGCTTTGGCTGTAACCAAATTTGTATTTAATATAAAGAAAAGTATAACGAATAACCTTCTTCTCTTCTTTTGCAGGGTGTGGTCAGTAACGATGGCACGGGAAATCCCCTACAGACCTTAATTCGAAATGGCTATCCACGTAGGCATAAGGCGGCAAATTATACGCCTCTAATACACCAGCAACAACAACAACTATCCGTTAACCCACACTTCCAACCGGTTACAAACTTTTCGGCTTTGGCTTATTCAATGCAAAATATGTCAATGTCAGATGGAACTGGCAGCGGACTGGATACCACATTGATTCCAGGATCAATGAACTCGAATAAAAGCGCTGGCAGTGATACGGGTAGTTCTAATGGTTCATGTGGCGACGTTTCACCACCGGAAACGCCAACGCTATCGAGTTCTTCGAATATGCCGGGCTTGCGACTCGGCGCTGAGAATCAGCTACAGAAACATCAACAGCTGAGTTATAACAAGCAGGCGGGGAGTACAAGGCTAAATGGTCGATCCGACAAATTAATTTCGGCGAATGTGGTGGTTAATACTGTTAGTACGGCTGCGAGTGGAATGTATACATCACCAATTCTGAATACACATCCGGCTCTGTCGCAACAGTCACAGCCAATTTATGGTACTGAAATAATTTTGGCGCCTGGAGGTAATGCCGGTGGCATTGGGTTAATGCAAACATCATTGGCCAATAATAACAATAGTGGTATTGGGAATAATATTGCAGTCGTGAACACGACTTCAAATATAGGTTCCAGTAATAACAATTTAGCGACTAATCCTGTGTTAATGAGTTCACCTTCGGCGGGTGTGGCCGGAGGTGGCATTATTACTAATATAGCACCGAACCCTATTATCCTGCCATCACCGCATCAACAGCAATATAACACCACCTACCCATATCATGCAGCGGCAACTGCACAACATCAACGGTTGATGAGCCATACTGGCGGTCCGGCACCACCTCCACTTCGTCTGATGCCTAATGAGCACATTTACTCTTACTACCCTTTACCGGGTGGCGCACCACCGGGTGCACCACCAGTTACATTGCGCCCCACAAATTCCGTGCCACCTAATACGAACGTCACATCGGGTGTAACGGGGATACTGCAGGTGCAACAGCCAACTGCGCAGGCGCTACAAACTAATCCAGCTGTTGTGCCCAGCCCAACGATACTGGCTGGAACGCCGTACAGTACGCAGGCAGTACCCATTGTTAATAGCAAACACTTGTCTTGTTACAATTGTGGATCGCAAAGTCATAGCGGGCCTGACTGTCAGGAAGCATCCATGGAAGATGTTACCCGCAGCGCCATTTACAAATTGGATTATTCCGGCTCATCAAGTGCATCGCCAACTGTTTCAACTGGTGCGAATAGTGTGGCTGTCGGAAGCGGGGTTGGTGGTGGCGTTGTTATAACAGACTCTTTGCAAATTCAGCATCACCCGCAACAACAACAGCATCATCAAAAGCAACACACAGGTGAGGTTACTGGTACCAGTTTAGTTGGATCACAATCCAGTGCGACCACTCTACATTCGTCCACGCCCGCCGTCAGTGCAGTCAATACAAAGTGAGCCTAGCAAGAATTTTCGAGTGCGGTGTTTGAAAACTGAAAAAATTAAAGAAAATAATTCTCAGTATGAATGTCTGTATGCGTTACGCAAGCTTAACTATTCCCACACTAAGTTCGTTGGTTGGTTAAGTGATATGGCAGGCGGGTAGGAAGACAAACTGAAAATATATGTATAGTGTAATAATAGTTGAGGCTTGCCAGCTCTTGGCTGAGCTTGCGATATAGAGATTTATACAGTTATGATTGGCGGAAATCAAATTTCACGCTTCTCTTAGCGAATAAGATTTAAAATTAGTGAAACTTTTTAATAACAAATGATTAATATATACATATTTGAATGTTGAATAAGACTTAATTACAAGTAAAAAAAACATCCGAAGCCCAGATGGACAATGTAAAATGTTTGCTCTCCAAATCTAGTACAGATCTAGAAGTGCGAACGAAATGTAGTAGAATACTCGGCTATAAATAAGTCCGTGTAAATGAAACTACAGGACTTTATTACGGAAAAAGAGTATGCATTATTTCTAACAGACTTTATTACATGCCAAGTAATATTTATTCTCTAAATGTTTTTTATCCCGATTAATTTCAGAAACAAGCATTTTATTTTGAAATGCAAACATTAAGCTGGCCCTATGTTTATTTATTTTATCGTCAGTCGATATCAAATTAGCAATGAGCATGTGTTTCTACAACTTGCCATTTTTTAAACTAAGTTCTAATATTCTGTCTTACACCAAGAATAATTTATACTTTCGGTTTACCTATCATTTACCTATCGGGTTATTTTGGGCAGCATGTGACAAAATGAAATATGTATTTATATATGTAATTATTATAAGTTTGTAGCGTTTGTATGCATTTGTGCATGTCCGTGAAATGACTACATATATGTAATGGACTACTGCGTTCGCATTACTATAACTGTACATGAAATGTTGACAGTTCACATACAATCGCGCTATTTCGCAAATCGTATGTTTGTACTCTGTGCCATGCATCGAGCAATCCTTCGGCGATGAAAATCACATCTCTCTCGGATGTAATTCGGATAAATTTGAATCAAATTAGGAATTAATAATTTGTGTTTTACCGTAGTCACATTCTTCTATGTAGTATATATAAATGTATATTTAAGTAAAAAATAATTATTGTTAACTGAAGGATATGAAAGGAAAATAAGAAGTAGAGTATGCAAGAAGTTAGGTGCGGAAGAGAATTACAACCCATTTATATTAAAAATACGCGTATATGAGTATATATCTAATCAAATACATTATTACTTATGGATATTTCTAAATATGTACACATGCCGAATAATAGAGATATCTATATACATACATACATACATACATACATATATGAATAATCGTAGAAAATGGTACAGCGGAAATACTAGAACTGAATTTGAGCGAAAAAATGAAAAGGACAGCAAGCGATTGTTAGCGCATGTGTATGTGCGAGCTGAGGTAACAAGTTCAAAAGGAGTTCAATTCATTTTTTGTTATAACTGTTGCCATAATGACGCAGTCATTGATGAGCATCCGGTAAGGTCAACAATGATCATTTGCATTTGCATCTACATACAAGTATATATACTCATATTCACATTCGCACAGGCTTAGCAGTCGGAGGATAAATATTATTACATACAAATGCGAGTAATCTGTTCATGTAAATCACTCTACTGCTTAAACTTAAGGTGAACAAAGCTAAATTATTATTATTCTTGACTACTTCTTTTAACAAATGCTATTATTTCCTATTTTCGAAATTTTAAGCCGTCTACTTTAAATTCATAAAAATTACTTGGTTAATTAATTTAAATATTAAATTGTATGTACATAATATATAAGATTAAATATAATGGACATTGAACTAAACATGTATTATGTTTTATTGAAATAAATTGTTTCTTAAACCCCTGTAAAAAGTAAAGTTTTTTGTTTTGCTTTTTAATTAGCAAAAACAAGCGCAAGTTTTTCAGAAAGCCTTCTCTGATCGAAATAAGGAAGCAATTTAAGGTTTGAGTACAACTTTTTACAATGGATTAAATCTTAACATAATATGCCCCTATTTTGACTGATGGTAATCTTTCCAATTGCTTACAGAGCCGAACGTCGTAGCTGTTGGCAAGAGTTATCCTTCGCTTGACCTCCAGGCGGATATTGGTAGTATCAATACTGGATCCTAGATAGACAAAGTCCTTCACTACTTCAAAGTTATAACTGCCAACAGTGACGTGCATTTCGTCCCGTTTCTGCCTTAACCTCGTATCTGCAATAGAGGTATTTTAGACAGTGTAAGTAAAAATGCTTAATTTCTTCCCTTAGGATACAACAAATGAATTTTTT